TTCGCCTCTTTCACCGCCCTCCGCACGTTATATGACGCGCCTTTGTACGGGTCCATGTCCCCCGTCGTGAGTTTCTCTGTGAATTTCACATTCTTCTGGCAGCGTGCTAGGTGCTTGCTCAGATTTGAAGTTTTTTTCTCTAGAAAGTTTCCTTCCCATGCAGAGTGTACGGCAGACACTAATGTTTTTGTCACTTTTTACAGAATCAAACTCAAATAATGTCAGTACTTCCAAGCTTTAAATGCTGCATAGTCGTAGTCTCTCCTGCACTCCATGTTATCCATTGTTGATCTGCACACTTCTTTTGTTGCCAAGGACGTCGCACACTCGTACGTCATTGTCATTCGACACTCTCACAAACAAAATCACAGTTTAGTAATGCAGCGTGCTTACAGGAAAGTATCAGTAATCTAATGACTTTTTTGCAATAGTAATCCCTTATTTTACTCGTTACTTGAAAAAAGTACTGCCCATCTCTGACAGTTACCTGCAATGCCATTTTCTGACTAACAGATGGCACTCTTACAAATACCAAATCTCATTTGACTGCAGTTTGTATCAGAGGAGTTCTTGTGTCCAGTCACAGGTATCAGTGACAGTGAGAGATGTGAGTAACTCATGATTCATAAAAATAAGGTGCCATTTGGTCTGCATAGCATAATAAACATGTATATTTGCTTATTTTTCAAAGGAAAGGTCCATGTGATTTCTGTTATCATTTACTGTATTTTTCTTTATTGTTCTGGATGAGGCATTGATTAAACTGAATGCCAACAATTTACTGCATTTTTATTATAAGAATATGGACTAACAGTGTATATTTACATTATGCTCACATGGCTGTATATTGTGCTTCTGGCATGCCAGAGTGTCCCTTATTTGACAGTTAAAAAGTTGGCAACCTTACCCCACACCCATTGCCAACTTCAGACTTCCCGAACAATTCTTTGCTTTAGACTTTAAAGTGAAACTCTCAGCACAGACTATAAACCTTGTCTGATCTCCTGCATTTCTCACCTGAAAATCTACCACGTGAAAATTCCTGTCCAAAACCTTTTTCCCCATTCTGGTCTTCTTAGGCACCAAATGCCAATAATCACACCCATATGTCAAAGGGTAATCATCAGCCAACACGGTGGTTTCCACAGCAGGTTTCAGTTTTTGTTTATATAAGTAGTGTTACTTCATTATTAATTAATCATGTTGTGATTTTGTATCTCTTCCTGAAAGTTTTGTGTCTCTTTATGGTTATTTTGTGTGTTTCGTGGTCATTGTGCACCTACTATGGTGCACAATGACCACGTTTGGACTGATTTTGCATCAGTGTGTAATTTGCATTTCATTGTAGATGGTTTGTCTAATATTGGCCCTCCCTGTGGCAGTTTTGTTTATCTTTGTTTAGTTTTTCCCTTTGTTTGGTTGGGGGGGGGGTTTGTTTGTTTGTTTTTCTGTTTGAACCTTTTAATCATTATTTGAATGACTTATCAACAACAGTGTTGAGAGGTTCAGGACTTGAGCCACCAACTCGTTTGGTCCCTTGGTTAGGTTAGCGTCTGAAGAAAAGTATAAAAACTCTGCACTCACCTTGTGTTTGGTGTATAACAGCCATAATCACATCAGAATTGATTACCTCTTCTCCCTCTCTCCACATGTTTTGCTTCTGTGCGATCTTTCTTCATAATGGGAGGAGCTCATGTGGCTCAGTTCCAAACTTGATGGCAATACCTGGAGGTGGCTCAACTGCTTCCTAGAATTATATTCTTCATTCATTGTTTTTTTTTTTACATTCAGGTTGCTGTTCTTTATCTGACTCTCTAGATTTGAGGCTAGCTTTTTGTACCTTCTTCTGGGCCAACTGTTGATTTGAATGGGTGTGCACACAGTACATGCTGATGTTTGATAAAAATGGAACAACAGTGAGTATGAATGTTTCTGTCAGTTACCAAGCATGACAACACTGCTCTGCATGCAGATGGGTTACATTTTCAGTATGAGTATGAATGAGCTAAATGTCAGCATTAGTCATCCAAGTTTACAGGCCTTAATTAAAATTTAGGTTTGCATTGTGGTTTTCTCAAGAAAACTTTCACTGAAATGATTAAAAATCAAGAGTTTTAAAGGCACCACCACATGTGGCTGCAGTGTATATTATTGAAAACGGACAACAGAAATCAGTGTTAAGTGTTACATGTTGATATTTATGGTACCTGGGGCTGCAGGAGTGGCAGCTAGGAAGAGAAACTTGACGATGATGACGACGTTGATGAAGATATCCATCGTAACCCAGTCAGGCCAGTCATAAGGAATCTGGTTTGGGAATCAGGAAGTGGCATCGCATCTAGTTTCCGAGACGACACATGGGCCTTCGCTATTGTCTGTTGTTTGCCATCGAATTTACATACCAGTACCACTGTCAATGAGTCCACCACACCCTGCTGCTCACTTCACACACACAGCTGCCCATGTGTCATTCACAAAGGCACCATTCAACATCGAAGTTAGAACAATGGACACTGCAGACTGATCAAACTTCCATACAGCTGTTAAGAAGTTCATTTACAGGTTCTGCTATACTAAGAACCTGCTATGCTATGCTTACGAACCATGCCTTTTTTTCCCTGTTTATTTGTATGAAAACTCTCAAGTCTCTGACTTCTGCTTTAAATATACAACCGCAGGTGTCTGCATTGGACATTTCTGTTCTCGAGTTAGTTGTCCCTCTATTACCACAGGGCTTTAGGGGACCGGTTTAGCCGGTTATGTGGGATTTCAGCAGAACAGGAATATCAAGGGAGAACTTGCCCAGGCCTCTCTGTTTCTGCTCCTCAAGGGGACGACCGCCCTGACCGGTTTTCTGGGGTGGAGAGAAGAGATAGAGGCAGAGTGTGAAGAGGAGGAGGGTGTATGTGGGGCGTTCTCCTTCAACTCATTCTATTCTCATTCTTTTCTTTATCACACTTGGTCTCCCGCCGCCTGCATTTCACTACGTCCAGCTGCGGAAAAGAAGCGTTGGCTAAGGTAGAAGCGGCTGAGAGAGAGGCAGTCACTGGCTGTTTTGGTAAGTGGGAATTGATTTGGCTCTGAGTTGTTGCCTGAGGACGAGGATAGACTTGCTGACAGGTGAGCAGCCTTGGCAGGGATTGAGCCAACACAGAGAACAGGAAACAATCATGACCTTACTTTGGGGGCAATTACACATTTACTTCACATTGTGTTACACAATGTATTCATTTACAACCCATAAATATAAATAAATACAAAGGCACAGAGTTCTTTCATAAGGACACCTCTAGGGTTTATTTGAGGAGTTCAGAGAAAAGATATGTATTTAGAAGCTTTGTGGTCTTGAATTAAAATGTCTCTGTAATCATTCAGAATTAGTTCAATCTAAGTATATGGTCTTATTACATGCACGATTAAAGCTAGCTTAGCAAGCAGAAACCCTGCCTGCTCTTATTTGTTTCGAACAGCATCAGCTGACATTGTGCGACAGCAGTGACTGAGGACTGAACCACAAAACTTCCTGTCTCTCTCACACACACACACACACACACAGCTCACCTCTGGTTTTGAACAGAAAATGTCCTGTGCTGATGGGAGGTGTTTTTAATCCCTGTGGTAAAGCTGCAGTAGTGAAATGTGCCTCCAGTGCGCTCTTTATCTCTCTCTTAAGGTGTGTGCCATCTAGAACTACGTGTTTGCACATAACGTGCTAATGCTTCTGTCAACAGTCAGAAACGTGTGATGCAGTTAGCTCGTCAGAGCTAGTAGCCTGCAAATTCAGTGTAATTTCATAAATAATAATTTGTGTGTGTGTGTGTGTGTGTGTGTGTGTGTGTGTGTGTGTGTGTGTGTGTGTGTGTGT